CTGGAACATGTTCCGGGATTCTTCAGATAGCATTGAGGAGTACACCACATCAGTCACTGGCTTCATCAATAAGTGCATCGACGATGTCGTCCCCACAGTGACCGTATATACATACCCCAATCAGAAGCCATGGATTACAGGAAACATCCGCACTGAGCTAAAGGGTAGAGCTGCTGCTTTCAAGGAGCGGGACTCTAACCCGGACGCTTATAAGAAATCCCGTTATGCCCTCCGACGAACCATCAAACAGGCAAAGAGTCAATACAGGACTAAGATTGAATCGTACTACACCGGCTCTGACGCTCGTCGGATGTGGCAGGGCTTGAAAACTATTACAGACTACAAAGGGAAGCACAGCCGCGAGCTTCCCAGTGACACAAGCCTACCAGACGAGCTAAACCACTTCTATGCTCGCTTCGAGGCAAGCAACACTAAAGCATGCATGAGAGCACCAGCTGTTCCAGATGACTATGTGATCACGCTCTCCGTAGCCGATGTGAGTAAGACTTTTAAGCAGGTCAACATTCACAAGGCCGCAGGGCCAGACGGATTACCAGGACGTGTACTCCGAGCATGTGCTGACCAACTGGCAAGTGTCTTCACTGACATTTTCAACATGTCCCTGACTGAGTCTGTAATACCAACATGTTTCAAGCAGACCATCATAGTCCCCGTGCCCAAGGACACTAAGATAACCTGCCTAAATGACTACCGACCCGTAGCACTGACGTCTGAAGCCATGAAGTGCTTTGAAAGGCTGGTCATGGCTCACATCAACACCATTATCCCAGAAACCCTAGACCCACTCCAATTTGCATACCGCTCCAACAGATCCACAGATGATGCAATCTCTATTGCACTCCACACTGCCCTTTCCCACCTGGACAAGAGGAACACCTACGTGAGAATGCTATTCATTGACTACAGCTCAGCATTCAACACCATAGTGCCCTCAAAGCTCATCACTAAGCTAAGGATCCTGGGACTAAACACCTCCCTCTGCAACTGGATCCTGGACTTTCTGACGGGCCGCCCCCAGGTGGTAAGGGTAGGTAACAACACATCTGCCACACTGATCCTCAACACGGGGGCCCCTCAGGGGTGCGTGCTCAGTCCCCTCCTGTACTCCCTGTTCACCCATGACTGCATGGCCAGACACGACTCCAACACCATCATTAAGTTTGCCGACGACACAACAGTGGTAGGCCTGATCACCGACAACGATGAGACAGCCTATAGGGAGGAGGTCAGAGACCTGGCCGTGTGGTGCCAGGATAACAACCTCTCCCTCAACGTGACCAAGACAAAGGAGATGATTGTGGACTACAGGGAAAAAAAGAGGACTGAGCACGCCCCCATTCTCATCGACGGGGCTGTAGTGGAACAGGTTGAGAGCTTCAAGTTCCTTGGTGTCCACATCACCAACGAACTATCATGGTCCAAACACACCAAGACAGTCATGAAGAGGGCACGACAAAGCCTATTCCCCCTCAGGAGACTGAAAAGATTTGGCATGGGTCCTCAGATCCTCAAAAAATTCTACAGCTGCACCATCGAGAGCATCCTGACTGGTTGCATCACCGCCTGGTATGGCAACTGCTTGGCCTCCGACCACAAGGCACTACAGAGGGTAGTGCGTACGGCCCAGTACATCACTGGGGCCAAGCTTCCTGCCATCCAGGACCTCTATACCAGGCGGTGTCAGAGGAAGGCCCTCAAAATTGTCAAAGACTCCAGCCACCCTAGTCATAGACTGTTCTCTCTGCTACCGCACGGCAAGCGGTACCGGAGTGCCAAGTCTAGGTCCAAAAGGCTTCTTAACAGCTTCTACCCCCCTAGCCATAAGACTCCTGAACAGCTAATCATGGCTACCCGGACTATTTGCACTGCCCCCCCACCCCATCTTTTTACGCTGCTGCTACTCTGTTAATTATTTATGCATAGTCACTTTAACTCTACCCACATGTACATATTACTTCAACTACCTCTACTAGCCGGTGCCCCCGCACATTGACTCTGCACCGGTACCCCCCTGTATATATAGCCTCCCTACTGTTATTTTATTTTACTTCTGCTCTTTTTTTCTCAACACTTTTTTGTTGTTGTTTTATTTTACTTTTTTATTAAAAATAATGCACTGTTGGTTAAATCAAATCAAATCAAATCACATTTTATTGGTCACATGCGCCGAATACAACAGGTGCAGACATTACAGTGAAATGCTTACTTACAGCCCTTAACCAACAGTGCATTTCTTTTTAACAAAAAAAGTAAAAATAAAACAACAACAAAAAAAGTGTAAGGGCTGTAAGTAAGCATTTCACTGTAATGTCTGCACCTGTTGTATTCGGCGCATGTGGCCAATAAAATTTGATTTGATTTGATTTGGTGTGTGTGTGTTCCCACGATAGAGTTGAACCTCCTGTGGGCTGCCCACCAGGTCCACCACAGCTCAGAGTACTACAACCTTTCCACAGCCCTCAGACAATCCCTCACACAGCAGTTCTCATCATGGGTAAGAGCCCTACTCATCCACTGGAACATCTATTCTATTCTATTGTGAACAACATACTTTTGTCTGATGCTGGAGATGGCAAGAGTTGATTAAAAAAAAAACATGTTTTATTGTCACACACTGGAGAGATGCAGTGAAATGTGTTGTTTTACAAGGTTAGCCATAGTAGTATGGCACCCCTGGAGCAAATTAGGGTCAAGTGCCTTTCTTAAGTAACATCAACCGATTTTTCACCTTGATATTCGAACCAGCGACCTTTCGGTTACTGGCCCAGTAAGCGCTAGGCTACCTGCCGCATTAGAAATGCAGATAAGTCCAACATTTGCTCCTTTACCACAATGTATGCTATGTTATGCACAAAGTATGGTATACTTAAGCTAATAAGAATGAGAGTATGGCACTAGTCATGTAAACACCTTACTCTGTTTACCTTAATTGGCATACGGTCATAAGCATACGCTGATTAAAACACCTGTTTTTTTGTTGCAATTTTTCGAATTATTAGGACATATAAACACCTTAATCGTAGTTCCAGCGGTGTATTTGATCTGCGCATGTGCTAGCACCAGCCAAGCGAGCCTCCCTCTTTAGTGAAGTGTGTTCGGAACAACTGAAAGTATGCATTTTAGAAGTCGTTTTCACATACAAACTTTAAATGTCCGAACTCAGAATCAAATAGGCTTCCCAAAAATAACATGGTCGCTGTGGTAGAATGTTTATTTTGATTAGTGATTTCAGATGTATCCATGTCAACAGGATTATTAGGGAAATTGTTTTTCTTGCAAAGCATGTAAACGTTTAAATCAAACTATTATATTAACTTGACTATCCACAATACTCATGTTATTGTGTGCATCTAACTGTATTAATTGTGTCTGTCCTCAGGTGTTCTATCTCCCAATGGCGTTGGCAGTACCACCCTCTGTGTTTGCTGTTCACATCCAATTCAACCTGCTCTACCAGTTCTGGATCCACACTGAGGTAAATACAACCCACAGTACCACCAATCTCAGGTTACCATCCACAAGACCTTAGGGCCAACCTCGGTCCTATTCATTAGTGCATTCATCACCGTAGCAAAAAGTTTTAAAATGGAAAACAAAAACAAGCACTGCTTATTGGATATGGTTAGGTAGTCTCTCCCCGTTTCGGCCCGTTTGCTTGTTTTTCATGCCTAGTGAATGCGACCTTGTTTAATGATGATTATTAATGTAGTCAATATTCTACAAGATTCATTATGCATATTTCCCAATTGCTGTAATAGTGTAAACTGTAAAAATTCAGAGATAAAGCTACTTTGACTGAAAGTTATCTCACTCTAGTCCCTAGACTAACTGCTGTTAAGGGGAGCTCAAGTCAAACCTGTGTTTAATAAAAAATAATGAGATTTTATGAAATATTCCAAACAGAAGCAAGACCAGTCGTTCTCCTTTAAAGTGACTGGGAGTATCATTTTTACAATCCCCAATCGTTAGGGGAATGAATGGAGTTGGAATCACTTCCATCTTTTAGTACACTATTAGTGAAAACAGTTATAAATTCGAAATTATCTGAGGGATATAATTTATGATTTCTTTATAGACTTTTTTGATGTTGAGTAATTTATTGGCACGCGATTCCCAGACCTGATCTGGGAATAAAAAGTTTGAGTGAAGCGGCAAGACCTTTTTCATTCAAGATAAAACTCTGGCTGTTGCCAGACCACTCATTACATGGAAATAATGAATCATTTAAAAAATATTTTCCCAGACTGATCAGTTGTAGACTTTAACATCAAAATGTCTGTAAAAGTCGCACCAAATGAGAAATCTGATATTTCTGAAATATGTTCCTTATGGCATGATCTGTAATGATTTTCTGTGTGTGTGTCTGCTTAATAGAGTGATTGAACAGCCATACGTGTTTGATTATGAATGACTGAGATATTGTTTTGGAATGCTTGTGCATGCACTAATGTGTATGTCTGGAAGGAAGTGTGTGCTTCCATATTAGCTAGGAGCTACTATTACAAGCATACTTGTATGCATAAGTGTGTGTGTGTACAGAGTGTGTTCAAGTGTATGTAAGAGCATTATCAACTGCTTTATGGTCTTGGCACCTCTTTCCATCCTAGTGTTGCTTTTAATTCCAATCTATAAATATTGTTCTTTCCATCTGGGAATTTGGTCACCTCACGCTTTCCGTCATTCTTAGAGCTTAGACCATCAACTCATCAAATAATAAAATGCTTTAGTCTTATAAAAAAGGTTTCTAGCCAGATACATTTAGTTGCTACTGTATGTTAACCAAATTGCCAAAAAAGACCCCAGGAGTACACTACCAGTTAAAACATAAATTGGCGAGAATCTCTATTCAAATAGTTTTTTAATCCAGTACTAGGTTTAATCTATGTCCGGGAAACCAGCCCAAATTGTAGCAGCTAGGCTATACATTTTTTTGTTTGTTTGTTTAATGTATGTACATTCTCTGTCTTTCAGGTGATCAGAGATACACCCCCAGTCACCACAGAGTTCACCACGGTAAGAAAGAAAGCCTCTTCTTCTCTGTCAAACACACATATTCTTACCATATTTGACGTGACTTGATCAGTGCAATATTGGTGAAAAAGGAAAATGATGTGTTGCATTTCATTGGCAGGGCGAAATGAATATTGCATTGATAAGAATTACGGGGGAGCTCTGATAATATGGGACCGACTATTCGGTGAGTAAACGCTCACAAGGTCAGTGCTTGTTGTAATATGGCCATATAACTACATTCTCTCACTTTGATTTATCAGGTACCTTTGCTCCAGAGGGCGATAAAGTTGTCTATGGTCTCGTACACAAAATAAACACATTTGAAATCCTCCATATTCAGGTTAGTCCCATGAGAAAATACAAAATGAATATCTTATTTGCTGTGTTGTGTTTTGTACACTGTAAGATATAAACTACTAGACTATAAATGTATATACAAGCTATCAAAGAGCAAATTGTCACAGTGTTTAGACTGAGCTGACACTGCGTGCAAACTGTCTGATTGTTCCCGTATTACATCAGTGGAATCAAACCATTTGTAGGGCAGTTACTCTCAATCAGTGTATACAAGTAAATGTTACAACATTCAGGTGCCGCTATAGATGAGGCCCCAGCTAGTGGAACAGCCATGCTGGAACCATAACATTATTACGCAACTTTAAACAAACCGCCCAGCAGAGGTGAAAGAGTCCAATAAAATGAAATACTAGAAGTTGTGTTTGATTATTTTCACTGCCCTTACCACTGGCAACTTACCGCATGAGCAATCCCTCCAAAATGACAAGCAACATTCTCAACCCAGTATTAATTAACGCACAGATTAGCATTGACAACAATGAATATGTAGTAATATCAGGGCTTTTATAGTAAAACTGCTTATGTAATATAATGTCACTGTAATGTGATGGTATATATTTTATATTTTTCCTTTAGTTCCATTACTATAAATACTTGTGGAGGAGGTTCAACAGATACAAGAAAATCTTCAATAAATTGGGCGTCCTCTGGAAAGGACCAAGTTGGAAACCTGGCAAACCAAGGCTGGGGGATCACGCAGAGGTGCCTGAGGTACTACCACATTCAATATGAAGACACATTTTGTCATTAGAGGAAGAGAGAAAACGAGAGAGAGATAGCGAGAGAGAGATAGCGAGAGAGAGATAGCGAGAGAGAGATAGCGAACGAGAGAGAGATAGCGAGAGAGAGATAGTGAGAGAGGGTCTGTAAGACGTGGGGAATCATGGAGACAAAGAGAGTATGAAGAGAGAGTTGAAGACGGTGTTCTAGCATTTTTTTTGTGTGTGCATTCCCAAAAGGGACACATTTGACACTTTCGTACTTCATTACCTATCATTATGACGCAAAGTAAAACACTAGCCTCACTATCCAAATGACTCACAGTATTCTCACTTGAAAGATTCACATTTTACACAGCCTTTACAAGGAAACACTACACCAAATAAATCCTCAAGGCCTTTGTAGGGGGAACACAATAAGCTCATTTTCACTTTAAATAGTAAGTCTGTGGGTGCCCTGCTAGGGATCAAAAGGGTGTGAGTGTGTTTGTTACTATAGTGCCCATCAGGAGCCCCAGTGGTTGGCTTTGAAATAGCGCTGATGGTGGCACATATTTAGGCCCTTCACACTTAAAAAAAACTCCACCCCTCGTCTTTATGATTAAATTGGCCCCTAAACTCTTGCATGGTGATTCTAAACATGTGGAGGGTGCTGGAATTTGACTGAAATATCTTGAAAGGCTTGCCATTGTAGGCCTAGACGGGTGCATTGATATTCTCTAAGGAGAGAGAGAGAGAGAGAGAGAGAGAGAGAGAGAGTCAGGGTCGAATGTGTTGGCTTTTGAGGCTAAGCAGAGCTGTGGGCTGGAACACCTACAAGGGTAGTGATGTGAAAGAAACCCACATGTAGCTAACTCACCCAAGACCCCTGGAAAACCCCTGCAAGAGACCTGTACCAATTCAACATCTAGAGCTCTTGTCACGCTCTGGCTCCGGGACTTTGTATGTTGAGCCAGGGTGTGTTCGTTTCGTTGTGTTCTGTTTGGTTGGGTTGTTCTAGGTGGTTGTATTTCTTTGTTTGAATGAGTGACTCCCAATCAGAGGTAACGAGTGTCAGCTGTTGGCTCGTTGTCTCTGATTGGGAGCCATATTTAAACTGTCTGTGTTCACCTTGTGTTTGTGGGTTTTTGTTCCGTGTTCAGTCAGTGTTACTGTGGACTTCACGATCGTGTTTTGTTTTGTACTTGTGCTTTAACTAATTAAAGTCATGTTCGTTTCACACGCTGCGCCTTGGTCTACTCCTTCTCGTCAAGACGATCGTGACAGAAAAACCCACCATAAAAGGACCAAGCAGCGTGTCCAGGAGCAGGCAGCCTGGACATGGGAGGCGCGCCGTAGAGAGGTGCAGCGGCGGCAAACGGGTCAAAGTCGGAAGGTCGAGAGGCAACCCCAAGAAATGTTTAGGGGGGGGCACAGGGCATGGACGACGTGGGTACTGGAGGCGATAAGGGAGAGGGTGAGAGTAGAGGCACGGCGAGAGGAACTGTGTAGGCAGCTGAGGGAGCGGAGGGTTATGAAGAAACCCAGTCCCGCTCCTCACACCAAGCAAGTGGTGTGCGTCACCAGTCCGGTCCGGCCCGTTCCTGCTCCACGCACCAAGCCCACGGTGTGCGTCGCCAGCCCGGTCCGGCCTGTTCCTGCCACTCGCACCAAACCTACGGTGCGCGTCGCCAGCCCGGTCCGGCCTGTTCCTGCCACTCGCACCAAACCTACGGTGCGCGTCGCCAGCCCGACCCGGCCTGTTCCTGCCACTCGCACCAAACCTACGGTGCGCGTCGCCAGCCCGGTCCGGCCTGTTCCTGCCACTCACACCAAACCTACGGTGCGCGTCGCCAGCCCGACCCGGCCTGTTCCTGCCACTCGCACCAAGCCTGGGGTGCGAGTCGTCAGCCTGGTCCAGCTCGTTCCTGCTACTCGCACCAAGCGAAGGATGCGAGTCGTCAGCCTGGTGAGGTCCGTTCCGGCTCCACGCACCAAGCCAAGGGTGCGTATCGTCAGTCCGGTGCCTGATCAGGTCAGCTACTCCACTACGGAGTTTGAGCAATCCGCTCCGTCTATGTCCGGTCCAGATCCAGCCAGCGGGGTCAGACCGGACCGGGGGCGCTACGGGGGGATTGTGGAAGGGTGGTGGTCAAGCCCGGAGCCGCCTCCGAGGAGAAATGCCCACCCAGCCCTCCCCTGTTTGGGGTTTTGAGGCGCGGTCGCAGTCCGCGCCTTTAGGGGGGGGTACTGTCACGCTCTGGCTCCGGGACTTTGTATGTTGAGCCAGGGTGTGTTCGTTTCGTTGTGTTCTGTTTGGTTGGGTTGTTCTAGGTGGTTGTATTTCTTTGTTTGAATGAGTGACTCCCAATCAGAGGTAACGAGTGTCAGCTGTTGGCTCGTTGTCTCTGATTGGGAGCCATATTTAAACTGTCTGTGTTCACCTTGTGTTTGTGGGTTTTTGTTCCGTGTTCAGTCAGTGTTACTGTGGACTTCACGATCGTGTTTTGTTTTGTACTTGTGCTTTAACTAATTAAAGTCATGTTCGTTTCACACGCTGCGCCTTGGTCTACTCCTTCTCGTCAAGACGATCGTGACAGCTCTACACTTTTGAGTTTTAAACCAAGTTTAAGCTACATACAGTATTGATGTTCTGTAGTGAATTATTTCAAAGTAGTTGAACAATATCTTATCATCTGCATATAGACAAGCCATGACAATATGGCCAGTTAAAAAATCACAGCATTCAGGAATTATGTTATATTGTCTTATCTTTTTGTTTAGCTGTATTATATTGCTGTTTTAATATTTCTGATTTATGTAATTGACAGGTCACTGGAGAAGAGCTGCCATACAATCCCAGTTGGCCTCTGGCTCTGCAAGTCTATGTCTGCATACATGGTCTAATGTTGTTGGGTGTTTACCAGGATCTGTTTGAGTCAAGGCTGGTATGTATTGTCAATCTCAAGAGTGACCAGTCATAGATAATCAACTGGGATTGAATACACAGGGTTCTATCTTATTTTAGCCATTTTAAATAATGTAATTTTCATTTTCTTCGAAGGAACAAAGTCACAAACATTCGGTTTATTTGAGCTCATTACATGCTTCATTTGGTTGTTTTTCTACAGTATTTACAGAAAAATACTGACTCTGCTACCATCAAGTCAGAATGACTGACTGTCAGTCCTCTTTAGAATAACCTTTGTCAATTTTTTCCCACTCTCAGAGCCAAAAGACCACCCCTTCCTCTTTCAAAAAACTCAAGTCAGGTTTCCTCAGCAGTTATCTTTGGACTGCTTTTTTCCCCAGGCATAGTTTTGGTTAGCCAACATATGCTGTCCCACCCAGCCCTTCAAATTGAGACAAAATGGCCTGTCTTCATGTGATTCCTACCTCCGTGGTGTTCCCTTAGTTGTGGTCCTCCCTCCACATAGGCCCACAGTCAAAGAGTTCCCCCTTCTTATTGGCCACCAGTGCATGAAACAGCAGCACAGCAGCTGGTGGTCTAATAGTGAACACAAATGCCTTAATTGCCAAGTCAACCATTTCCCAACCATTTCCCAACCCAAATAGCCTTCAGGATGCAGTAATCAGGATTTCCAGGGAAAATAACCTTGGCCTGACAATAAATCATGTCCATGTATGTATGTACGTATACCTCCATGTTCACTAGGCACGTATTTATGGTGACCATTGATGATACAGTGTAGCACAATTTATGGTCTTAGTGTTAATTCAAAGACATTAAAACATGTCTATTTCAAACAAATCCCATAGGGCGGCGCACAATTGGCCCAGCGTCGTCCGGGTTTGGCCGGTGTAGGCCGTCATTGTAAATAAGAATTTGTTCTTAACTGACTTGCCTAGTTAAATAAAGGTACAAAAAAAGTTAGCCTTCAATTACATCATTGGTATAGCCTGGTGTAGCTACAGTTTATTTCAGGTTGGGTAATTTTACAATAAGGACACAGGTAAATTGACCAAGTCGAAAAGCTAATTCCTCAACTCAGAATCCAACCAATCTCTTGTCCTGAAAATAATAATGGCAATGATGAAAACTATTATAATAATAAGTTAATCTCCAGGTCTCAGAGGATATAGAAACAATAACATAATCAGTCCAGTGCTGGAGTCACTGAAGCGCCAGCAGATGGTGAATTTCATTTCTTTTCACTCACTGTTATTGTTGAAATACGATATGGGACGAAATAGAAATGTTGCGCACTGAGCGGGCATGAAAATCCAAACATTTTCCTCTCGATTTTGATTGTTTCTGCTCTGAATGCCCATTATTTTTTAAAGTTGATGAACGTTTTCCCCAGCGACAGCTAGGTTGTGTCTAGGTTCCATTCCCCCAGGGTAGAGATAGTCAAAGTAAAGATCATGTAACCTAACTGACCTGCTTTGACTCCTGGGTAACAGTACCAGTGGGTGCAATACAGCATAATGATTCCCTGTAAAATAGCCTAATCAAATTGTATAAATAAATAAAATACAATTGCCAAAGAATACATTGCTGAATAGATTGGTAATTAGCTTATAATAACTGTGTAGTTACTGTATTACTGTCAATTTAGACCTCACCTTAAGCGTTACTGACTATAGTGATGGATAAGTTTACTGTGTGTCTTTGGAATCCATGTAATGGAAATGCTTTAGTATAGTTGATTCATAATGTCTTATTTGCCCCCATTGAATACATACAGTAGTGCCCCGCCTATACTTTCCCACGTGTGTGTTAGGGGAATATGGGGTTTAACAATTATAGGGCCTGTACCATATAAACATGAAGAAATACTACTTTATTGCTTCCTGTTGATATGTTGATGCCATATATGGCCTGTTGGGAATGTGCATTGTTGTGTATGTACTGTATGGAGGGAGGCCAGTGATGTTTACATGTCAGGGCCTGTGAGTGGAGTGTTGAAGATCCAAACCCTGCTCCGACAGACCAGTCTAGTCCCTTAGGAGCAGCTAGTCTTACAGCTGTCTTTTAGGTTAGCAACTTAAGGCCATGCATTTTCACCACTCATGTATCCATCCACGGGTTGGGGTTGTGTGCGAAAAAAAACAGCTTGCCAAGTTCAATGTGAATGTGTACGGTATAGGACTGGTGTTCCCCATAGTGTTTGCTTTGGCTTGATGTATAGTGGTACTGAGAGCTATGTACCGCAACGTCTTCCACTGTGGTCAAGTCCCTTAGCAGGACTCAACAGAGATGGTCAGAGGTAATATCCCTATTATATAGAGTGTGAGAAAGGAAAGGGGGATACCTAGTCAGTTGCACAACTGAATGCCTTCAACCAAAATGTGTCTTCCGCATTCAACCCAACCTCTCTGAATCAGATTGTCTGAGTCACGGTTACTGGCAAGACTCTACACTACATTGTGTAGGGGAGCTAGATGTAACATAATAGCTTACTGTGTATAGATGTGTAGTCTGGGATATTAAAAGGGGCATGGTTCATGACTTTACTCATAGTCAAAACTCCTGTGCCCATAATTCACCATACAGATGCAGGATCTTAATTTGAGCCAGTTTACTACAACAGGAAAATAATCCTACAGCAACAGGAAATGTGAATTATTATGTTGATTATAATTAATGGACATTTTTGTAGGGGTTGATACATTTTTAAACCTCAAATACACTACAAGTTTTACATTTCCTGCATTTCAGGAAAGTTCTCCTGCAACAGGGTGATCAAATTAAGATCCTACATCTGTACCTTTTCTCCTGATAAGCATGATTTGTGTGTCTATGTTATAGATGCTATCCCAGCTGACTGTTCTGATGATGACTGGCTACATTCTACTCAGTCTGACCTCCATTGGCTTCATCATTGACCAAAGGTACTGTACTGTCATATATCACTGGTACTGTACTGTTATCCCTCACTGTAAATAGCTTGGAATTAGCACACAGAGATTGGTCCTCTTCAAGGTTACGTGGTCCAACCCATTTTAAGTCAAACAATTTAGAAAATTGAAATGGAAAAAACTCCAATAATGACTTATCAATAGATTGTCTCATATCTCTTGGATTTCAATGCCATAACTGAATTGACTTGAATCAATTGAGTCAAAATGCCACTTAAACCAGTTCGTTATTGCCGATTGTTGCGTTCTTTCCCTATGCAGGTCAACGGCATCCATGTTGGAGTTGCTACGCTGTGTGCTGATGGTGATGCTGCTGAGATATGGCTACATGACGGCACCAGCACCGCTGGTTGTGCCCATTGAGGTTGGAGACAGACCGTGCTGCTACTACAAAACATTTTAGAACCCCTTTTGGAGAATGATACAATATGCTAATCTAACATTTAAAACATTAATTCTTCAAGAGGTGTGATAACTCGGTATCCTACTGTAATGTAAAGCTGGACATATAAGTAGGCATTTATCCACACCATTTCATTGTCCCTAACATTTTACTAGAAAACACAGACATACTGTACGTGACAATGAGATATAAACATACTTTCAGAGGTAACAATTAGTGTAATACAAACCTATTAACCAATCAATAAGAACGTTGTTTTTGATGATGACCGTGTCAGTCAACAAAACAAACAAAGGGTGTCAGGAAATAGTGCACTTAGCAGAATGCCCTCCGGTCGATGGTAGGATGGGTGGGGCGTGGAGTGTGTGGGGAGTGGAGTGTGCGAGTTGCCTCTTTGATGATGAGCGGAGTCGACAGCCAGTCTTTAGGGGCCATTAGGCCTAGTTAGAGCATTGGCCCTTCCTGTAGCCAGCCATGCTCTGTGGATGAAGCTGCACTGTGTTCAGGTGTGACAGTAGGCTATTACTGTAGTGTATGTGTCCCTGTATGTGTCCATTGTGCCTCATTGTGTTTGTGCGTATGCGTTAGCGTGTGCGTGTGTGTGTGTGTGAGAGAGAGACTACGTGTGTGTGTGTGAACCGTCACTGGCTCCGGCCCCACATTTACCTGTGATGTATGACTCCAGATGCACGGCCCAATTGACCATAAAATTGCTGTGCGTTTCTGGCACTTGCGGCGGAGTTCTAGATCGTGGCTGACCTCTCATTACTTGCCTTTTTCTCTCTCTCTTTCTCTCTCTCTCTCTCCCTCCTTTACTCCCTTGTTCCCTGCCATCCCAGGCAGTGCGAACTGCAAACTGCAACACTTCTGGAACCAATTAGTCTTGTCTGCTGCTAACCAAAGCTGGCTGATGAGATTCACACGTGAGCACTGCGGCTGAATTGCTACTTTTATTGTGTGACTCCACATCTGCACACTCAGGTGTTCAAAAAGGAGACTGGAGTTTTTTCCCAGACACATTATTTTTCAAGATGATAAAAACAAAACAAAATATGCTGTGAATTAATTACAAATGTATTCAACTTCGACTTGAAAAAACGTGTTCATCGTGATTTATTCACTACATGCTACATGGCAGTATTTTCTCCATGACATCTTTGTTTTATATACTCTTTCTGCGAATGATTCATTAGGCCCTATTCAATGTCTCAGTATTTCAGTTGGAGCAGAATAAATGTCACCTAAGCAGGTGCTGCCCATTGAAAAGCATCACCATTTTCATGAAACGGTTCCTGACTTTGTACCTTGTTACCCATTACTACAAGTGAGCCAGCAAAGAAACCGAGGTACAGTAATGATATATTGTCCTGACGCGTGAGGTGAACGGCCAGCTCTTTGTTGCTGGGGGAGGCATTTTGAAGTCGCGCCAATCAATTCAAGCTGGGGACTCAAAGTGGAGGGAAGTTCACATTTAATTGTAGTCACTCATTCAATTCCACTATTAAAGAATAACTACAAAAAATAGGTTGAGTTGAAGCACTCAAAGCCCACTGGCGTGATATACAGCACCCTTAAAGCTCACTGTGGTATTTATAGTGGCTCTGGAGATTTCCCTTGTAAAGCTGCAGGCTTGACCTGTAAACCAAGACTGGGGTACCTCTCACCCTCCCTTACCCACCCACACCCAATGTCTAAGTGGCACACATGGAGCCAGGCTGTATAAGGTAGAATGGTGGTGTGTGGACATGCGTAAAGTGTGTGTGTGTGAGAGAGAAATATTATGTGTGTGTGTGTGTGTGTGTCTGTGTGTGTGTATGTGTATATGTGTGTGTGTGTTTATATATGTGTGTGTGTGTGTGTGTGTGTGTGTGTGTGTGTGTGTGTGTGTGTGTGTGTGTGTGTGTGTGAGAGAGAATATATGTGTGTGTGTGTGTGTATATATATATATATATGTGTGTGTGCGTGGGCGTGCATGCTTGCGTGCGTGCGTATGTGGTGTGTGTGTTTGTGCATGTGTCATGTGTGTGGTTAGGATTAGGGGCTGGGCGTTGAGGACTGGCATGTAATGATGAAACATATGGTTTTTAGGCCCATGGTCTGTCTGCCTGAAGGCCTGAAGGCGTAAGGGAACGTGCTGTAGAGCTGGGTTAGACTCTGTCCCACAGTCATTAAGGAGCTACTCTCCCAACAGGCTAACCCCCTAACTAGTGAAGTCATAGCAATTTAAGAGAGCTAATAAAAAATACACCTGTCCCATGGACCTGTGGAGAAGGAACCAGGAATGATGAAGGAACCAGGAATGATGAACCACTTAGAATTCAAACTGAGTCACTCACTGCACTATCAATGAGAAAAGAGTTGTTGTCTGTAGTCTGATTCTGTATCATGAGGAGGCTACTTTGCCAATGAGAGTCTGTTTGCAGTTGGCACTTTTCGCTGTGAGCAGGGCTCACATAACAGTAAATAACTCAAACCACAAGTATGCCAAGAATCATCAGAATAACTTATTAATTCATCATATTTGATCTCTTCCTCTATTTTGTGTAACACTTATTCTTATTTTCTCTAACTTTTTGAAGGGAAAGAAAATATTCCATTGAGTCGAAGACAAAGAGGTCAGAACAATTATCATGTTCACGTGAACACCAAAGCTCATCTCAGCTTACGGCAGCTCTTATCTAGCCCAACACCTGACCCATCTACAAAAACAATATATCCTATAAACCCATAGTTTCCACCCATTGTTGGCACCCCAACCCTGAATGAAAAGATAAGACAGCAATCAGTGAAAATACACTGTTATCTGAGAGCTCTGTTTCGACTAGCTCATTTTCAGGTGCGAGAGGTTAGCGTTAGCGCCCTTTGAGGAGAGAATGCCTGGTAGCAGAAATACACTGAAACGCCTGAGGTTAAGGGATCATTTGGGACTATGGAAAGTCTGAGAGGATGACATCATCTGAATGCTCCCAGGGATGGAAAGGAAATCTCCTCTTTGGCAAAAATGGAGGGATTTTAAATAGAAGTATGGGGTAATAATAGTGTTTTCTCCAAGTAAACAGTCCAAACTACTGCCTGTGTGAAATAGTATCAGTCAATGTGCTGGGGTTCATGTCACTCAACAGTAAGAACTGATATATGTGTTGTCAAAGCTCATGCCAGGTAAGGCCATGGAAATCTAAATAGATTGCTTGTTTTTTGGGCTAATTCCTGAAAGCCGTCTCAGAGTAGGAGTGCTGATCTAGGATCAGGCCCCCCTGTCCATATAATCATATTAATGATGATATAAAGGCTAAACTGATCTTAGATCAGCACTCCAACTCTGAGGCACTATGAATAATGGCTCTGACTTGATATCCTCAAAAACCAAAGCACACCATAATGATTGTCTTAGGAGTTTAAATAATTTATTGTCCCTTAATCGTAAATGATTCATCAATGAAATACAAAACCATTAGCAACAATATACAACATGACTAGATGGCAAATTTACAATCCAAGGAAACACTTTGAAGAACCCTTTTTGGTTACAGGTAGAACTCTTTTGGGTTCCATGTAGAACCCTCTGGGGAAAGGGTTCTACATGGATCCTTGCTCACAGTCAATCATATAATGCAAGGCAATCATTGTTGCAGGGAGTTTATTTTCCCCCTTAAAAAAGTAACAGACACAGACATGCACACACACACACACACACACACACACACACACACACACACACACACACACACACACACACACACACACACACACACACACACAAACACACATTCTCACTCTCTAATCTAATCAATGTAATAACATATAGAATGAGCTCCAAAAGTATTGGGACAGTGACACATTTCTTAATTATTTTGGCTCTGTACTGCAGCACTTTGGATTTGAGAAAGTTAGAGACGCACAAATATCATACCCCCAAGACATGCTAACATTTTTGGGGGGTTATGATATTTGTGCATCTGTAACTTTCTCCTTATGCTGTTCTTGGGAATTTGTCACTGTTGTTTTGTCATTGACTCATGAGGAGGTAGATGAGGAAAAAGAGGATGTCGAGGAGTTAAGGAAGACCACAAACCCCTACGCTAATCTGTCATGCTATTCCAACCCCAGTACTAGCCACTAGCCAGGATGTTTGAATGTGATCAGGCTCCAGGTTCCTACAGTACAATACGCTGACAGAGCAGAAGGTGAGAGGGAGGAGAAGACAGAGGTGGAGGTGGAGTGAAGGAAGGGAAGGAGGGAGGGAAGGATAGTTCTCTCTCTCTCTCTTACAAGCCCCCTAGGGTTCCATCCATCTTTGCCCTTCTCTGTGGAATCCCATTGAACTGATTTACAGAACGTCCGCTGAGACTCTAGTTCTAGGGCTCTGGCTTGGCCTGATTGCTCCATCAAAGCACACCGGGTTTGATTTTGCAAGGCAGAAGTCTCCCCCTCTCTCCCTCTCTCCTTCTCGCTCCTTTGTTTTTTCATCCCTTGTTTCTGGACCCGCTCCCGTTGCGCCACGGCTGCCAACTTTCCGCCTGCGCTCTCTCTCTCCAGAGTGGGCCGCCTCACCGCTGGAGCCACCCAGAGCATTATGGGTATTAGTAAGATTGAGACTTTCATGGCTGAGGCTTACAAGGTGCATCCCAAATGGTATCCTATTCCCGATAAAGTGCACTACTTTTGACCAGAGCCCTTATGCTCAAAAGTAGTGCACTATAAAGGAAACAGGGTGCCATTTGAGACATGGCTGAGGCTTTAGAATGTGCCAAGCCCATGGCCTCTGCAGTAATGACAGTGTAATAGTGTGGAGACACAAACAGCCAGGAGGTCGGGGATGGTGAATTATTCTTCACTTTCGCTGACCCCAGAACAGTAGAAATGCCTCATGGACGGGATAGGTTTGTAGTGACCTTGGATCTGTCCCCTGACATCCTTGGAGGAAATAGTGCTGATAAGAGTGGAAAGAGTAGACTGAGAAGCTGAAGGAGTCCCTTTGTGACTTCATCATTACTATTTTGCTTCATTACTACTGTACAAGCAATGTGTGTGTGTCCGTTTATCTGTGTGTCTGTGTGTGTGTTGGGAAGCGTTTCCCATGGCTCTCGTACAGTTGTTAAGCCCCAGACAGAGCAACCTCTCTGGAGAGACATTAACCTGCTCAGCATCTCTCTGTTAACTGGGTTCAAAGAAAGGAGTCAAGAGTGTCTGCTTATAGTGAAGAGACAGGAACTAGACCCAGCAGGAGGAGGAGAGCTATGTGTGTGTGTGTATTTGCTACATACATATCTGCATGTGCCTACCTGCGAGCATGTGTGTGTATTTGTGTGCATGCATGCATATCCACACATGCGTGTGTGTGCGCTCATGTGTTTATCCCTGCCTGCGATTGAGGGGAGTATGTGTTTGTGTGTGTCTAAGAATCTCCTAGCCCTGTTATGCAGATGTCTGAGTATTGCATCTCTCTCTCTCTCTCTCTCTCTCTCTCTCTCTCTCTCTCTCTCTCTCTCTCTCTCTCTCTCTCTCTCTCTCTCTCTCAATGTGTACTGTAGGCAGGCAGGCAGGCAGGCTAGCCATATGGACGGGAGGGGAGCTCTGGAAACATCCCATTACAAGTCATATATCACACTCCTGACAGCACCCATTCTGCGCTGTTTTCATTTCAATCATGAGTGCAGCTGCACGGGAGAACTCAGGGCTCCACCATGTTAACCCACTACTGCCCAGGACTGCTACAGGTACCCCAGTGTAGGGAGGTGGGGAGTCAAACGTATGAGAAGAAAGGAACCCTCTCACCTGGTGGCAGGTTTCTTGACTATTCAATATATCACTTTATTTATCACATGATGGCAGAATAGTCAATGGGGTCTCGACAATACGGTAGAAGTGTCTCCTCCTTGCTCTGAAAGGTAGAACAGTATGTTCCATATCTTATGATTTAGACACAAGAAAACTGAAACTACTCAGAAATAAAGATCTACCACATGCATTTTCATTTGTCTTGCTCTGAGACGATTTGTTTGACTCATTGGTGCTCTAACGAACTACCCTCTCTTGAAATCAAAACAAAGTGAGTGAGAGCGGATTTGTTGAGATTCCTACTTGGTGAACCAGTGTTCTCTGCTCGTAGTGCTTATTTGCAGATGATCAAACCCCCGCTTCCGCATGTAATCTATCCCACATGCATTATTTTCCCAGAGAAGTCTATTAAAATGTAGCGTAGTACGGCCAACCGAGAGATGAGAGCAGAACCAATACAGTACCCCCGGGCGATCCAACATACTGTTTTGATATAGAAGTGTCTGTCATGGATATGTTTAGCCGGGCCTATTATGTGATTTGTGGGGTACTCCTGAGGCCTTGCTTCACTTTCGATCCCAATCCATCTCCGGGATGGGTACAGCACACATCACAACTTCATGTCTCTGTAAAGTGCTGCAGTGTAAAAACGTCGGTCCGTCCTAGACGTGAAGACTTTGGTCTCAGGCCCAGGTTGCCTCCCTCTCCTTCTTTTCTTCAACCCCCCCCTCCTCCCTCCCTCCCTCCCTCCCTCCCTCCCTCTCCTTCCCTCAGTGGGGAACCTGTTGCCAGGACAGGTAGTGAGGGGCGGAGAAGCGGGGGGACATTCCAGGCCCTGTTGTGCTCTCTTACTCCCTCCCTCCCACTCTCCCTCTCTGAGGAAAACAGCTGTGGTGTCCAGAGGAAATGCTGCTTTTTTCCCATCAGGCCGTTGCCTGTGATGGACAGGGGCCTGGTTTGGCTTGCGCTGCGAGGTAGGATGCAGTTTATGAGCCAGAACACAGAGGGAAAGGGGGGGGGGGGGGGTGGACAGGCGCCACAGGACAGCTTTTGGCAGAATTTTCTGGCATATTCCCCCGTGGCGTCCGACTTCTTGACCCCAACATGAGAGCATCATGGGAGATTACTTTGCCCTACTCCTTAACCTTTGCCAGTCCTTATATGTCCGTGCTAATATGTCTGGCTCGCAGTCCTTCTGTGTTTTCTTTCAATCAGGTATTAAGTGAAAGTTGATGCTGTGCTATCCTTCCTTACGTATCTAGACCTGTCCATCTGACCATCAATCATGTCCAGTGCACATGAATGTATACATACAGTGGGGGAAAAAAGTATTTAGTCAGCCACCAATTGTGCAAGTTCTCCCACTAAAAAAGATGAGAGAGGCCTGTAATTTTCATCACAGGTACACGTCAACTATGACAGACAAAAATGACAGAGAAAACAAAATCCAGAAAATCACATTGTAGTATTTTTTATGAATTTATTTGCAAATTATGGTGGAAAATAAGTATTTGGTCACCTACAAACAAGCAAGATTTCTGGCTCTCACAGACCTGTAACTTCTTCTTTAAGAGGCTCCTCTGTCCTCCACTCGTTACCTGTATTAATGGCACCTGTTTGAACTTGTTATCAGTATAAAAGACACCCGTCCACAACCTCAAACAGTCACACTCCAAACTCCACTATGGCCAAGACCAAAGAGCTGTCAAAGGACACCAGAAACAAAATTGTAGACCTGCACCAGGCTGGCAAGACTGAATCTGCAATAGGTAAGCAGCTTGGTTTGAAGAAATCAACCTTGGGAGCAATTATAAGGAAATGGAAGACATACAAGACCACTGATAATCTCCCTCGATCTGGGGCTCCACGCAAGATCTCACCCCGTGGGGTCAAAATGATCACAAGAACGGTGAGCAAAAATCCCATAACCACACGGGGGGACCTAGTGAATGACCTGCAGAGAGCTGGAACCAAAGTAACAAAGCCTACCATCAGTAAAACACTACGCCGCCAGTGACTCAACTCCTGCAGTGCCAGACGTGTCCCCCTGCTTAAGCCAGTACATGTCCAGGCCCGTCTGAAGTTTGCTAGAGTGCATTTGGATGATCCAGAAGAGGATTGGGAGAATGTCATATGGTCAGATGAAACCAAAATATAACTTTTCGGTAAAAACTCAACTCGTCGTGTTTGGAGGACAAAGAATGCTGAGTTGCATCCAAAGAACACCATACCTACTGTGAAGCATGGGGGATGGAAACATCATGCTTTGGGGCTGTTTTTCTGCAAAGGGACCAGGACGACTGATCCGTGTAAAGGAAAGAATGAATGGGGCCATGTATCGTGAGATTTTGAGTGAAAACCTCCTTCCATCAGCAAGGGCATTGAAGATGAAACGTGGCTGGGTCTTTCAGCATGACAATGATCCCAAACACACCGCCCGGGCAACGAAGGAGTGGCTTCGTAAGAAGCATTTCAAGGTCCTGGAGTGGCCTAGCCAGTCTCCAGATCTCAACCCCATAGAAAATCTTTGGAGGGAGTTGAAAGTATGTGTTGCCCAGCGACAGCCCCAAAACATCACTGCTCTAGAGGAGATCTGCATGGAGGAATGGGCCAAAATACCAGCAACAGTGTGTGAAAATCTTGTGAAGACTTACAGAAAACGTTTGACCTGTGTCATTGCCAACAAAGGGTATATAACAAAGTATTGAGAAACTTTTGTTATTGACCAAATACTTATTTTCCACCATAATTTGCAAATAAATTCATAAAAAATCCTACAATGTGATTGTCTGGAGAAACAAAATCTCATTTTGTCTGTCATAGTTGACGTGTACCTATGATGAAAATTACAGGCCTCTCTCATCTTTTTAAGTGGGAGAACTTGCACAATTGGTGGCTGACTAAATACTTTTTTCCCCCACTGTACAATGGTACACCAAAAATGAGGGTATGAGAATGAAGCAAATCTAATCTACCTCAAAGCAATCCAGACTATTTTGGAAACATACGTAAGAAATTGAAAGTTTGTTTGGTGTAAGTGCTCACGAACAGCATCTAGTCACAACAAGATGGAGGTGTAAAATGAGTCAGTCAGTACTCATAGACATCGAATAAAGTAAAGAACACATTGGCCTAACCTCCTCTCTCTCTCTCTCTCTCTCTCTCTCTCTCTGTAGGCCTTTGTCTCCATCTCCCTGCTGTACTGGGGCCTGCAGACATTCAGCCAACTGATTGCAGTCAAGAAGAAGACAACATGAGATTGTCAGGTCCCCAGGTGCTGCTGATTGATTGATTGATTGATTCTTTTCCTAGGATCCCTTTTTTCATGAAATGTAATACTTAACTTTATATCTTTCAGTTCCATTTATGACTAAACAGTTTTCTGTTACCAGTCTCACTCATCATTTTAGCTGGTCTATAGGCCAGCAGTACAGTATGATCGACTAAATAAGATACATTTCAGAAATAAACGCTGTATTAGATATTAATGTATTTTATATAACTAAATCTGTGATTAATGAGTATTAGGGTATCTGAATAAGTAACACTACAGTAGAAGCCTTCTCTACTTCACTACCATGGGCTGGAAAATAGTTTCGGGATTCTGCACCAGGTGGCACTATTGTTGCCTTAAGACTGCATTCATTTTATAAATAAGGTTGCCCCTAGACTCTGATCTTGGGTCAGGTTTGTATTTTCCCAAATAATAGTTAAGGGAAGGATTGGATGAGGAGAAGCTGAAGATCTGTACCTGGTACCTGAAAGTATATTGAAAGCAGGTGCTTCCACACAGGTGTGGTTCCTGAGTTAATTAAGCAATTAACATCCCATCACGCTTAGGGTCATGTGTAAAAATGCTGGGCTGATCATTATTTTGGCTGCCCTGGCTATGCCCCCATAGGATGACAATGCCCCCATCCACAGGACAATCGTGGTCACTGGAGTGGCGCTAGGGAGGCACCAGAGACAGTGTTTTCCACCACCATCAACAAAACACCAAATGAAAGAATTTCTCATGGAAGAATGGTGTCGCATCCCTCCAATAGAGTTCCAGAATATATGCCAAGGTGCATTGAAGCTGTTCTGGCTCGTAGTGGCCCAACGCCCTATTAAGACACTTTATGTTGGTGTTTCCTTTATTTTGGCAGTTACCTGTACATCAGACTGTAGGCAGCTGGCCTGGTCCTAGAATAAAACAAACTAAAAAACAGTGTAGGCAGCCTACCCAATAGAAGCCTAGTCGAATGGCAGAAACACGTGAATAGACTCGTAGGCCTACAGTACATATCTGTGGTGCCTGTTATTCAATGTCCAATGAGCTGTTCACTTCCTTACCGTCAGGCAGACGGTATCGGAGCATGAGGTCTGATACCAACAGGCTCAGAGACAGTTTCTATCTACAAGCCTAATGTTTGGTATACTCAGTGTACACACATCCACACACACACACACATTCATGCTACACACACATCACAACTGCTGCTACCAGACTCTATGATTTCTAAGTACTGCACAATTTAAACACTTGCCCCCCAATCCCCCCATCCCCAAAACACGTGTAAATATTGGACGATAAATTGTGCCTGTATTATACTAATGCTAAAATGTTTATTCTATTCTACTGAGCCATTTACTTTATGTTCCTATTCTTATATTTTATTATTTCTTATTGTTGCGTTGTCGAGAAGAAACCTGCAAGTAAGCAATTCGTTGGACGGTGTGTACCAAGTGTATCCCGTACATTAGACTAATATAACTTGAAACTTGAAACAATGTCTCTGCAGTACATGACCCTGGTATAGAAGTGTATCAGAGAGACTAGTGTCACCAGCTGAGCCCTGGTCAATTGATGCTACTGTGTGTTCTGTTGTTGTGTGAAAACACTGTGAATTATTAAAAATGTCTCACATATTCCCTCAGCACTGTTTGATATTGCACAGTCGCGTTTCAAAATGCCAGTATTTTACACAGCATATGCCACCAGAGAGCAAAGCTAAATAAAATATGTGTCCAATTCAGTCAGTAGTATTTACTGCAGGTTGTTTTGGTGTAGGAAAGGATATCACATGCACTGTTATTTGGAGATACACAGTTAATAGGATTTTGCCTCTTACCTGTAAGGTAGGCTAGGCCTAGCCCAAGATGTACTGTTATGGAGTGTAGGCGAGCATACTCCTTTTTACGTCCAAGGACCTTATATGTTATGTTATTTAGGGCCCTGTGTTTTGGTTGATCATGTCACTTGACCTGGATTTGAACCTTTATTTTTACACAATAAATCAATTGTCATAGGATGGTACTGCACCACCTGACATAAAACACAGGGCCCTAGACTTATGCCAAAACATCTAAATGTGAATCGAATCTCATTGTGATACAGTTCTAGAAACATAAAGCCCTTTACTTTCATATCAAATCAAAATATTTTCACAAATGCAAAATATACACTTATTTTCAGTTACAAAACTTTTCTGGCGTCCTTCCATTACACACAGGTGTTCGGAGACGCTAGATATCTCATACGAACAGGTGGTCGCCTCTGCTTTTGTAAACAAGCGCTGTAACATGGAAATATGGCCTTTCACAATCTCTGACCAGGAAACATGAAGGACCTCTCTCTCCAATTACGTGGAAAAACAATTAAGCATTAACATTTCTTTAGCTTAGCTATGAGCGTTTTAATTGATAAACATGATCACTTTTGGTAGCAACATTAAATCAGAAAATGCATGAACAGGAAGGGTAGCCTATTTGTACCTGACGTGCAGAATGTTTTTTGGCGACAAACCTATTGCCGGCGTTTTGACCACAAACACGTTTCTTCTCTTTTCACGGGGGATCAACAACTTTGGGAAAATATCAGACATTATACAATAAGTAAATGTCTTTCTCATATCCAATAAACTGTTTTAATAAATGGCTCGTTTAGCAGCAATCAGCAGTTGAAACAATAACAAAGCGTGCTCCCCCACCCCTGTAAAAAACGTAGGAATGGGGCTGAAGTACAGTGCCTTGCAAAAGTATTCATCCCCCTTGGCGTTTTTCCTATTTTGTTGCATTACAACCTGTAATTTAAATGGAATTTTATTTGGATTTCATGTAATGGACATACACAAAATAGTCCAAATTGGTGAAGTGAAATTAAAAAAATTCTAAAAAATGAATAATGGAAAGGTGGTGCATGCATATGTATTCACCCAATTTGCTATGAAGCCCCTAAATAAGATCTGGTGCAACCAATTACCTTCAGAAGTCACATAATTAGTTAAATAAAGTCCACCTGTGTGCAATCTAAGTGTCACATGATCTCAGTATAAACAGTGGGGAGAACAAGTATTTGATACACTGCCGATTTTGCAGGTTTTCCTACTTACAAAGCATGTAGAGGACTGTAATTTTGATCATAGGTACACTTCAACTGTGAGAGACGGAATCTAAAACAAAAATCCAGAAAATCACATTGTATGATTTTTAAGTTATTAATTTGCATTTTATTGCATGACATAAGAATTTGATCACCTACCAACCAGTAAGAATTCCGGCTCTCACAGACCTGTTAGTTTTTCTTTAAGAAGCCCTCCTGGTCTCCACTCATTACCTGTATTAACTGCACCTGTTTGAACTCGTTACCTGTATAAAAGACACCTGTCCACACACTCAATCAAACAGACTCCAACCTCTCCACAATGGCCAAGACCAGAGAGCTGTGTAAGGACATCAGGGATCAAATTGTAGACCTGCACAAGGCTGGGATGGGCTACAGGACAATAGGCAAGCAGCTTGGTGAGAAGGCAACAACTGTTGGTGCAATTATTCAAAAATGGAAGAAGTTCAAGATGACGGTCAATCAACCTCGGTCTGGGGCTCCATGCAAGATCTCACCTCGTGGGGCATCAATGATCATGAGGAAGGTGAGGGATCAGCCCAGAACTACACGGCAGGACCTGGTCAATGACCTGAAGAGAGCTGGGACCACAGTCTCAAAGAAAACCATTAGTAACACACAGTACTCCTGAGTGGCGCAGTGGTCTAAGGCACTGCATCGCAGTGCTAACTGTGCCACTAGAGATCCTGGTTCGAATCCAGGCTCTGTCGCCCGCGACCGGGAGACTCATGGGCGGCGCACAATTGGCCCAGCGTCGTCCAGGGTAGGGGAGGGAATGGCCGGCAGGGATGTAGCTCAGTTGATAGAGCATGGCGTTTGCAACGCCAGGGTTGTGGGTTCGATTCCCACGGGGGGCCAGTATAAAAAAAAATATGTATTCACTAACTGTAAGTCGCTCTGGATAAGAGCGTCTGCTAAATGACTAAAATGTAAAAATGTAAATGTCATGGATTAAAATCATGCAGCGCACGCAAGGTCCCCCTGCTCAAGCCAGCGTATGTCCAGGCCCATCTGAAGTTTGCCAATGACCATCTGGATGATCCAGAGGAGGAATGGGAGAAGGTCATGTGGTCTGATGAGACAAAAATAGAGCTTTTTGGTCTAAACTCCACTCGCCGTGTTTGGAGGAAGAAGAAGGATGAGTACAACCCCAAGAACACCATCCCAACCGTGAAGCATGGAGGTGGAAACATCATTCTTTGGGGATGCTTTTCTGCAAAGGGGACAGGACGACTGCACCGTATTGAGGGGAGGATGGATGGGGCCATGTATCGCGAGATCTTGGCCAACAACCTCCTTCCCTCAGTAAGAGCATTGAAGATGGGTCGTGGCTGGGTCTTCCAGCATGACAACGACCCGAAACACACAGCCAGGGCAACTAAGGAGTGGCTCCGTAAGAAGCATCTCAAGGTCCTGGAGTGGCCTAGCCAGTCTCCAGACCTGAACCCAGTAGAAAATCTTTGGAGGGAGCTGAAAGTCCGTATTGCCCAGCGACAGTCCCGAAACCTGAAGGATCTGGAGAAGGTCTGTATGGAGGAGTGGGCCAAAATCCCTGCTGCAGTGTGTGCAAACCTGGTCAAGACCTACAGGAAACGTATGATCTCTGTAATTGCAAACAAAGGTTTCTGTACCAAATATTAAGTTCTGCTTTTCTGATGTATCAAATACTTATGTCATGCAATAAAATGCAAATTAATTACTTAAAAATCATACAATGTGATTTTCTAGATTTTTGATTCCGTCTCTTACAGTTGAAGTGTACCTATGATAAAAATTACAGACCTCTACATGCTTTGTAAGTAGGAAAACCTGCAAAATCGGCAGTGTATCAAATACTTGTTCTCCCCACTGTATACACTTGTTCTGAAAGGC